AGTCAATTTCTCACTGCAATAAAAATTATTTTTTAAAGTATATATTTTTATTTGAAAATTTATTAAAATAATATATATTTTTTAATTTTTCAACATTAATATATCAAAACACTAAAAAAATATTATTTTAAAGTCTTTGCAAAACAAAAATAAAAGACTGTAGTAGGATGAGAAACGCAGTGTTGGCAAAACCTGAACAACAGTATAAAAAAAAAATAGCGGAAGTACTTAGATATAAATGTATATCATTTAGCCGAACAATCCCGCACACAGTACTGGAGCAGAGTATGAGACTAGCTTTCATAAAGCTGATGGGGTTTTCAATTATTTAGCACAGAAGCACGTAAGATCATGTTATCTTCGTGGCTAGCAAACACGTAAAGGCATAAATCCAATTTTTCCTGGAATGCTTGTTGTTTTCTGTTTCTTCAGGTAGATGAAAAGTCTTTTTTTCTAGTTAATTGATTTTAATGGAACTCCTTTCAAGGGAAATCGTGCTATAGAACCCATTCTTTGTTCTCACCATCCGAGATATACCAATTTCTGTGCACCATTTCTGGTGGAACTTTCTGTTTCCAGCAAGAATACTTACCTGTTAAGGCAGAGAAAAGGACTCAACAGGAAGCACCTGAGGAAAGGTACTTAATGGTTTAGCTCCAAACTATCTATAAAAAGAAATTAAAGCCCCCCAAGGAGAAATCTTAATTTCTTAAATGAAAGAGCTTCTACCTTTGCTTCTTCGCCATGCTAATCCAGAGACGTGGACTCTCATTCTCTCAGGCAATTGAAATTGCTCTCACCAAATTTGCACGTTCCCTTCTGAGCTAATCTTTGATAGAAAATTAGTTGTCTAGGCATCACCCTGGAGACGGAACTAGCTAGACAAGACCTGTTAAACTCCATTAACTACTACAATTACCTTAAGATACTTGGTGTTTACAGCTCATAATCCTTACTTACATTTCACAGGGACCCTAAAAAAAGAGGGGTTCACGGTGATCTAAAACAGGCTTGAATAAATCTCAAAAAGTCTCCATGTTAAGCAAGGATTTTTCTTAAGGTCTCGAACCATTTTTCTCACCATCGAATCCGTAAAGTTTCATTAGATTCTCTATTGAGTCCTCCAACCCACACACGTTGATGGGTTTCATGCAAGGAATATATTTTTTCCCATTAAAAACGAGGGAGTTTTATATTTTCACAAAATACTATAAATAGTTTAGCTGAAAGACTCGATAGAGATTTTTCTTAATGCTTTGAAGATCCAATATCTGAGATAATAAAATTCTGTGGGAACTCAGTTGTGATTTAGATTACAATAATTTAAGGATTGCCCAATTTATAGTTCTTGAACATGGTCTGGGAAGAAGATTATCAAGGGGCAAATTAATATAAACATCTTCACTCTGTGCAGCATTTACAAAAAAAGAAAAAGAAAAAGAAAAAGAGAGGGAGCCTAGAATTTGATTTCCATGCTCATTTCTCGAGCACGACAAGCGATCGACTACACAATTCAATAGCAAATCATAGAATCTAGCACAAATCTCAGCTCTTGCACATAAGATTTCCTATATAGAAACATGGCCAGAAAATACACACCCATATACTAACAGAGCTGCTGGGTCATGTCACGAAAGAATACCGTGCAAGTGCTCCATACCTAGTTAGAGTACCATACACGGGGATGCTAGATCAAGAGCTTGAATTTCTTTTTAGTGGTTGATGGCACTTCAAAACTAGATACAAATTCATGGTTCGCACATGAAGAGATCACGGATAGTCCACCATGGGGGGGCCGTTTTATAGCATGGAGAGACTAACGATTCACACGAGAGAATGTTAATTGTCATTGATAGAGGAAAGCCAGAGCACACACCCTCTTAAGTCATACTCGCATGTAGGTATTAAATTCTTCGCCTATGTTAATGTCAAATCATAACGCCCACACCTGACAATCATCGACCTAAATATTCGAGTAAAAGTTGAGATCTGGCTCGACTATTGGGTTGGAGGACAGTCCTTTCTTCTTCTAGTTGTTCCTGATTTCAGTACGAGTAGAGTTCCATACCTTTTATTGCTAGATATGCTGTATCAAATGACATGATCAATTAAGATTCGATGGTGACCGATTAGTCAAATGGGGTTTGGGTTCACCTGCGCCATAGACAAACCGCTTAAAAACTTGGATTTTTTTTGAAAACATTGAATAGCTCAACGCTTTATTATAGTCGGAAAAAAAAAAAGTCAGAAAAACTCGTGATGCTCTGTAATTTGACGCCACACCGAACCTCCCAATGCATTCATTTTGACCCGGTGCCTGTTCTATATATAAAAACAAACCCCCCCATGTCATCTAGACAGTGTTTGATCACGATCTTGAAAAATAAAATAAAAAAAACAACTGGAACAGAAACATATATGACTAGGAGGATAAAATAAGAGACTTCAAATAAATTTATTTTTGCGGGATTTTTAAAATGAATTTTTATATTTTTAAAATTAAAAAAACCAGAAAAACATGTATTTTTCATTTTTCTAGTTTTTTTATACTTTTTTTTTTAAAAAAAACCTGTAAACACCACCTCAGTTTTTTTTCAACCTTAAACATATAGTTACGAAATACACTTCTTTTTTTTTTTGGTTCTTGGGGTCACTGACCTTATATTCTGAGCATTGATCATGCAAGTGAAACTAATATAAACTTTAAATAGAGTTAAAAAAACAATATAAACTTTAAGTTTCTTAACGACCATATAAATTTAATTTTGAAAGGGAGTCCACGCGATAAGTGGGTGTGCTCCTATTCCCCGCTTTATCAACCACCATTCAACCGCGAAGCTAGATCATCACTCGTGAAAAAATATTTTTCACGGCCCAAAAGGAGCCACTCAGATTCTGTTTAGCGACGCTCTTCCTGGAACCGACAGGATAAACTAAAGAGACATAAAAGAGAAAAGCAAAAGCTGCAGGCCTTGGACTCTTGAGGTCATCTCCGTCTCTACTCTGATGATTCATATCTAAGCTGCTATAATTTGGACTGTCCATCGCGTGACCTTAAAAACGGCTTGGAAAGCGATCGAAGCTCGGTCGTTGCGTGCGTGTTCCCCTCAACGACGTCTAGTTACTTGATTTTTCCTGTTTCAGACAAAAGAACCCTCCTAGTTTCACGCATTTACACAACACACACACAAACAGACATGGACACTTGTTGCTTGGTTTTCTAGAGACAGCGTGAGTGTGACTCTATACCTAGCGGGGTTAATGTGGGACCCTCTCATTGTTAAAAAAAGAACAAAAATAGAACTTCAAATTACTCCCCAGTGAGCTATCCAATTCTCAATTTAGTTACAAGACAAAAACAATTATCAACCGAGTCCCGTACACTTTAAGAGGATATGAGTTAGTTCCTTTTTCTCCAAGTTTGTAATTTCCCTGTCGGATTTTCTTTAAAACAATGCATTTTTGTTGCATGTGATAGATGATGCATTAGATGGAAAGTATTAACAGGTGCTGACAGGAGACAAGGTTAAAAAATGTTTGGGGATCTAGCTGGTTTTTTTTTTATTTTGGACTCAATTTATAATGGTTATATAGTTTAGGGATCGAAATGAGGTTTCTCCCAAAAGGATAATAATAAAAAACACGATTGCCATTCGGAAATGTTGTTTTCTATTTCCCGGGATGAACAGGAAATTAAGCGCAGAAAGCAGCAGATGCACTTGCTAATTTTGATCTCTGATGGGCTTTGTAATTGGTTTTACAATTTACCAAGGAACGCAGCTATGGATCCTGAAAAAAGTTATACAGAGTATTTACTGCTGTAATAATTATTTTTTATATTAATAGATCACATCAATAAAAAACAAAAAAGTAATAAATAATTTTTATTCTTAAATAAAATATAATTTTTATTATTTTGATTTATTTAAAAATGTTGCTACGGTTGTTTTTTAAATTATTTTTTATATTAAATAATATTTTTTATTTTTAAAAAATTATTTTTAAGATTAGTGACCATTAAAAATATATTAAAAAATATTAATTCTTAATAAAAAATTAAATTCTTTTAAAAATACAAATTAACTGGCGTTTCCTAACGCTGCCATGATTTTAAGAGGGAGACTAGAAAATGATCCTGCTTACTCTACCTGCACTCTGGACACGCTAGTCAACTCAATGCAACCCTTTTCACAGTACCAGTTTGAGTTTCCAGTTCGTTACAACAATGATTGCTTTAATGCAGACTCCGTAAGTATGGGCTTTTGGAAACCACCAACGAATGCCAATTTATGAAAGGGACCTGGGCTTATATAAATATTTTGTTGATGCTAAACTTTCATGGAGAGATAGATAGGTGTGTTTTTTTTTTTTTTAAGGGTGTCCAGACAGGCTAATTCATGCATGTTGCAATCCTATATTTTTCATTAATCTTACTAGTATTTACACCTGTCTTTAAGAACGTGGATACCCCCCTACAATCCCAGTTGAGAGCAGGGGTGTTCATTTTAGGTTCGGTTCAATTTTTATAAAAGAAAGTAACCAAACTGGAAAAAAAATTTGAAAAAAAAAAACCGAAACTGAACCGAAACCGGGTCAAACCGACCAGTTTCGGTTCGGTTTTTAAGGGAAAAACCAGTCCAAATCAGTTTGGCTCGGTTTTTTTTCCAGTTTCGATTCGGTTCGGTTTAGTTTTTCGGTTTTTTGGTTATAAAACCGAAACCGAACCGAACCGGCTGGGTTTTTCAAAATTTTAATCTGTTTAATCCGTTTTTTTTTTTTGGTTTGGTTTTTTTTTCCGGTTTTCTTGATTTAATCGATTTTTCGGTTTTTTTGAACACCCCTAGTTGAGAGTATGTGATTGCGACTGTCCATCTACCTATTTTTTATCCTTTTCCTTTTCTTTTCTGGTCCTTAGCTGTAGCTTGTTACGCGGGCCTTTTGATGTACCGGGTCTTGGCCCTTGTACCCACTTTTTCCAGGCCTTCGGCCACCCATCAATACACAGTGCTCCAGAAAAGAAAGGAAAAGGAAAAAAGACGCGTCGTCCAGAGGAGAAGAATCCCTTATTTAAATTGGTTCCGGGGGGCGGGGAGATGAAAAATAAAAGCGCACGAAGAAGGCAGTAACGGAAAGAGAGGGAGAGTAGGGTTTGAGTGAAAGCCATGGCTATCGAATGCCTCGTCCTCGGTATTTCTCTTGAAACAAAAGATCCTTACAAGACCTATGTTTTATGTATTTGCATATATAATTGTTTGTTTTGAACAAGGAAGGTGCTGGGCAGGAAGTTGGGAAAAGCTGTGTGGTAGTCACAATCAACGGCAAACGGATAATGTTCGATTGTGGAATGCACATGGGCTATGATGATCATCGTCGCTACCCTGACTTCTCTCTCATCTCTAAATCCAGAGATTTTGACCATTCCCTCCACTGCGTCATCATCACTCACTTGTATACATAATCGTACTTAATACCTCTCTTAATCGCCTTTTTTTCGTGTTAATTTTGCTTGGCTGAATGCAGTCATTTGGATCATGTCGGTGCTCTTCCTTACTTCACTGAAGTTTGTGGTTATAATGGACCTATTTACATGACGGTAATCTGGTCGATAAAATGCTTAGCTGAACTATATATCTATTAGCTAATCGAGCGAAATTAATGATGTTGTTTATATGTATTGATGCAGTATCCTACAAAGGCACTAGCTCCTTTGATGCTGGAGGATTTTAGGAAAGTGTTGGTTGATAGAAGGGGTGAGGAAGAGCAATTTACTTCTCTTCATATTTCACAATGCATGGAAAAAGGTAATTCTAACAGTTCTCTCTCTACCCTGCTGCTTCCTATTCTATCTGATTTTGAAATCTACTGCAATAAAAAAAAAATAGAAATGGTGTTTATGATCAAGTCATATTTTTTTCTTCTAATCCCTTCCTTTTTTTTTTCTTTCTTTTTTCGGTTTTCTGTAATGCAGTCATAGCAGTGGATCTGAAGCAGACTGTGCAGGTTGATGATGATCTTCAGATCCGTGCCTATTATGCTGGACATGTAAGATTTTTTTACCTCAAGTTGTAGTAGCAGTATCTCTTCACTTGACAGCAATTTTTGCATATACTAATAGAATTAGTGCACGTTTCATGCCCTTTTACGTTTAGCACTCAATCAATTGCACTTGTGTTTAAGGAATTGATAAAAGAATTTGCAGTTCAGGGTTTCATATTAAATATGTTTTGTGATGTTCATTTATGTATTTTTAGCTGATATTAATTGGCCGAACTGAAACATAAATTTCCTTGCTAGGCTGCTGCAAAACATTTCAGATTCTGTGCATGACATGGTAGAAAATAACTTTTATTTGAGATTTTTTCTTGTAAATCTGGTGTTATTGCAAGTATCGGGAACTTTCCAGGAAGCTGGAATTCTGATCACAAATCTATCTCCCAAAAAAAAAAAAAAAGAGTTCCAGAACCAAAATGCACTGAGCTAATCTCTAGTTCTGGCTATCTTGACGGATGCAATTGTAGTTTTGTCAAGCTTCAAGCCCAAAGATGTAAAGCTTCTTCTTCTTCTTCTTCCTTTTGTTTTCTAGTTTGGGAATGCAAAAGCATATATAAGAATAAAAACTGGAGTTATGCCTTATCTTTCAGTGGTAGGAGATAAAAATGGTAGCAGTCTTGTTTTTTTTTTTTGGAAAAGAAGTGATGTGACCCAGCTGAAAGGCGTATTTTTGTTAACTTTCTCGAGCTTAAATGGGCAAAGAAAAATAGAGCAGGGATGAGGGAGCATGTGCAAGTAAACATGAGAAGAAGAGAAATCATATCAGTGTTGTACATGCTTTTCCAATATCTGATATAAGAGGCCTCAAAACACCTTCATTTTGCAACACTAGGATGCATGTCTGAATAACGGTTCTATAACTCACCGTCATATTGCATCTTTTGTCAGGTTAAATGCTTGATATGTCTATGGAAAACTTCTGGATTAGCTGGTCTGGATAAAGCCATATAGGAGGTTTGATTTTATGATAAAATTAGCTTGAGTTTTAGTGGTGCCTAAGCATAAAAAAATTGAACAAACAATTGTCTAATAATGAATTAGTGGATACTTGTGACCTTTTCCCTTTCATATGCTTGTTAGATGCTGGTCTGATATGGGCAAATACCCATTACCTGCATCACATCATGTGCACCCAAACATCCTAAAATTTCTAAAGGGCATTAAAATTCTGACTATAAAATCTCCCTCTTTTTTTCGAATTTGTTTTTGTTTTTTGGGGTCTCTTTCATTTTAATGATTTGATTTTTATTTTTCTTCTTTCGTTGTGCTTTCAAGGTTCTTGGAGCTGCAATGTTTTATGCAAAGGTGGGAGACAGTGCTATGGTGTACACTGGAGACTATAATATGACCCCAGATAGACACCTGGGAGCAGCTCAAATTGATCGACTTGAACTAGACCTCCTTATAACAGAGTATGGACATTTAAATATGTTTGGACAACATATTTAAATACATGTGAATCTGCTTGTATAGAACCTTTACATGAAGCCATAGAACAAATTTATGTTTGCACATTAGTATTCTGTTAATTGATTCTAGCATTACTCATTGATTCATTGTTTCTCATAGTCCACATTAATCAGTAATTTGCATCAGGAATTTTAATTCTTTGAAGTATGCAGAAAGAACAATGGTGACAACAGACGTTTCACACTGCCAATTTCAATTGGGTGATTGACAATTAGAGTCTTAGGGGGGGTCACTTCATGTAAATTGCTGAAGACTAGATTTCTTCCATGTTACCTCTTCCAAGAGCCTGCTTTGTCACGGGAAACACTCCAGATTTGCAAGTATACACATAATTACCTCTCCCAAGAGCTTGTTATGTCAGGGGAAACACTCCAGATTTGCAAATACATGCATAATTTATGATGTGCATCATGCAAAATGCTGGAGGTTCAGATTGCTTTCCAATTATCCTTCCCAAGACTCTATTTTGGCTTGCCAACACTGCAAATGTATATTTATCATGCATTAGTGCTCCGAATTACAACTTGAGTATAGATATCATCACTGTTTTCCTTCACAGTGCATTTGGCAACAATTAGGATGGTTGACCTTTGTTTTAGAGATTAAGGCCGCCCGCTAAGGATTCTAATTTCTATTAGTGCTAGTTTTTCCTCTTTCATTGTTATATGAGAAAAAAAACATAATTTATTGCACATGTTATCTTGGTGGATTTTCATTCACTCTAAATAGCTCTGATATATTTAGATGAAACTGGTTTCTTATAATTTGTGATTTCTTTCCTTTTGTTTTGATGGAATATCTTAAATCCAATGTATTTGTCGATACATTGTAGTGTTTGGGTGTTGTTTCCAATTGACAAGCTACTATAGTTATAATGTCTTAGCGTAACTAATCTACCTTGCATTGATACTTTTTGAAGACCTTGTTTACAGAATTGGATTTGCTTCTGCTGAAGGTTTAATTTTTACTTCCCTGATAAATTCTTCTTACAGGTCTACATATGCAACAACTATCCGTGATTCAAAGTATGCTCGAGAAAGGGAATTTCTCAAGGCTGTATGTTTAACAACCTGTCCATTTCTGTATTATGCATGTTTTTCTCTTATCCCAGTGAATTAGGTCACTGTGCTTTTTCTTTCCAATTCTCTCCATTATTTGTGTCTTTTCTGTCACATGTTTCATGAGCATTATATTGACATCTCAATGGAAATTAGTCAACTAAAGTTGCAGGAAGCTTCTTTTGCTGCTTGCTTTTATTCATTGCCAAAAAGCTTGATGATACTTTCTCAAAAGACTGGATATAAATTCATAAATTTGACACACTGGTTATTTGTCAGCTCCATGGATTACATAATGAGACAATTCCTGTCTATGTTGGAGGACAGGCGTATCTTAGTCAAATTTTAATGTTAGTTTTAACTTGTGTTGTTGGCAGTCTAGAACCAGAGACCAGTGTCTCAAACAATCATAATTATGGTGTTAGATTCAGATACAGCTTCTGTCATATGTCATGTTAACATCGGTCTCATCCAAGTTTTTTCCCATCATTATTTCCTGTTTCTTTTCTCCCTTGTCTAGCCTTATTAAATATGGGATACTTGAAGAAAAAACAATCATACCGTATAGTGTTTTAATTACTTATTGAACACTCTAGAGGCCCTTGGCATGGAAAAGAATTCTCAATGGCTGTAGGATTACAGAACCACAATGTCATTCTTAGTGGCTCTTCATTGCTGAATGATGCTTTTCTTTTAAAATGCATATGTACATGACTTACTAAAATTCACTGTTTCTACTGTAAAATGATAGTGTTTTAAGAATGCATGCATCTAGGAATTCAAGTTTTGTTGCTTCTAGTACATTATTGACCTGTATTAAGCATCGTTGCTTTCTTCTATGAGGGAATGCCATGTATTGTTATTTATATTTCCAAGCTCTTGAATTTAGAAGCTTTCTTTTTATCTCTTTACAATAATAATAGTGATGTGTGTCTTGGATAATTAATCAATGTAGGTCCATGAATGTGTTGCTGGAGGAGGAAAGGTGCTTATTCCTACATTTGCGCTTGGAAGAGCTCAGGTATTCGCTGCAAGATTGTTGTTTTTTACCCTTCACTTTGAATCTAATTTGCCTTAATTTGGATTGGTTTATGCTTTAATTTTTTGTGGAAGTTTTAATTGTTATGGAACAATATACACATTTTAATCATGCCATATGTGATTTTATATCTGACTCCTTTCAGTTATGTGACCATTCATGATTTGTGAAAATCCCAACCGATTAAATCTGGTTGGTTCACTAAATTGGAAGCAAAACTTTAGACTTTCACAGCATCATCTTTGTTTTGCACACATCTGAGCTGCATTTCTGGTCTATTGTGATTCAACCAAACTAGTTATTGCTTCAATTTGGTGCTGTCCAGATTGAAAACATATATCATATGGTTGGCAGACAACAGCGTAAATGCAGCAGGTTCCTAAATGTCTATATGAATTGTACCTATATATTTCATTTGATTATTCTCTTGCACTTTATACCATTGAGATGGTGGTGCTTGTGTAGTTGAATTAGGGATTTGGGTTTGGCAGGGTTAGTATGTTGGGGATGGAAATGAATTTGTTATACACTCTATGTTGAACTGGCCTTTTTTTTTTTCATATTTTTTTGATGTTGCGGTTAGTTTAAAGATTTTGAATAAGAGAATTCTCTTAGATGGTGGTGATGGTGATAGTAATGATAGCTCATTGAGAGTGAATAGATTCTGTAGTTCTTCTGTTTTCTTAAGGAAAGGTGCCACTATTCTGAAGTTTTACGTAGTACCAAAACATCTCATTTCTTACAGGGGCATTATATAAGTGCTTACAGTATGCACTGTAAAGGGGATGAACTCTAAAAAAGGAGGCACCTGCCATTTTTAAAAGCAGGGAAAGGTAGAAAGGTGGGCTTTTGTTTTGTTTTGTTTTTTTAGTATATGACCCACCTACATTCCTCAAAGGGAATTTGACATTTCAGATTCAAAATGCTCACCTCTTGCAGTGTACGCTTGTCCTTTTATTCTTATATTAGATGATGCATCATAAAATTTAGTGACATTATATTTTTTGGCAGGGGAGATGCACTGTTTTTTTTTCTTTCTTTGACTAGATAAGCATATTTTTCATATTGTTTGTGTGATTCTACTAGTTCGAGATGTATCCTTTGTGAACACTTCAATATTTTTCATATTGTTTGGTGTTATATGCCTTGATGATGTTGCAGTATCGAGTCTTATAGAATGCCTTAGCATCCTTTGTTGACAGTCTTATTGACTTGTGAATAGGAACTCTGTATATTGTTGGATGACTACTGGGAGCGTATGAATCTCAAGGTTCCTATATACTTCTCAGCTGGTATGATTAAGCTATTATTTCTTCCTGTTACATGGTTAAACATGTTACTTAGTCAAATATTGTATTCTTAATTACCAAAAAATGACGTCCTATTTTCTTCTGTTCCATAGTGACTGCCCATTTGCAAAGTCGATGTTAGATCTATTGAATATTTTACGTAACTGTCAATCATCAATGAATAGAATTTTGTTTCTTCTTACAAGTTGAAGTTAGGCATAGCCAAATAAAAAGAAAAGATAATGTCAATGCATTGATCATTTTCTCCTTAAAATGTTGATGTTTTCCAAGAGGAAAAACGCTTTGAAATGGAGAAACTTTATCTCTGGGATGCATGGATCTGACATTACAATTATCTGGGGTTTAATATTGCAAGAGCATCATCATCGGAGGTTTCTGTTTAGATACAAAGGAAAGTTGAGTTACTGGAAAAGACCAGGTTGTTTGCATGGCTGCCCATCCTTGTTTAGAGCTGGGAAAACTGCAAACAGACTTTTGCCTAATGGCAGAAAATATTCTCGTAATGTTTTCTCTGTCTGGTGTCGCACTGCATCTGTTAAAAAAAAAAAATTAACACTCTGCATGCATTATTTTTTTTTTAAAAGAAATTTCTTTTGGCAAATCATTTTGGAATCTCCTGTTCATTCTTCTCATTCTTTGAGAGATTTATTTGGATACTGTTGATAACTTAAATAGTTCTCCCAAGTGTGTCACCACTGCACTCATATGGATTTTACAGATTCACACTACAGATTTCGAGTTTTACATTTCAGGTTTGACCATTCAAGCAAATATGTATTATAAAATACTTATCAGCTGGACCAGCCAGAAGGTCAAGGAGACATATGCTACACGGAATGCATTTGATTTTAAACATGGTAATTCAAGTGGTTAGCTCATTAACATCATCATGTGTCTTTAGGGTTACAGTTATAGAATTTTCTGGCATGATAAGATTGAAATTTTTTTTAATCTCAATGAATAAGTAATTCTGATATATTGTTGCTTCTTTTAAGGAGAGGGATCTCAATTGGTTGCAAAGGAAAAAACAAATGATGAATATGGAACAAAATATATTAGACTGTTTATTGGGTAATAAGCCCACAGAGGCAGGCATTTATGTCATATCATGTGGCTATCATTTCTTTATTCTACCTCCTGCTACTGGTCTCGCTCTGTTTTTCAGTAAATCAAGCTGATTTTGGTGAAAAAAACGAGTGAACAATATCTGAGGATCTTCCCTGGCTTCCACTACTAGCTTAGTTGTTTGATTCATTTTATGACATAAACCACATGATGCTTCATGAAATAATTTTTTAAATCAATTATTAGCAGACTTGAATGATGTTGTATAATTTAATTGCTCTGCTTCCCATATCAGTGAATGTCTTCAAGTCAAATCTAACATTGTTGGTGCTTTTGTTCAAGCATTTTGCCCTCACACTGGTGTTTTAGGCTACCTGTAGGCCTATTTTTTTGTAAGGATATTGCGAAAAAAAATGGAGCTTTTATAACTTTTCATATTCCCATCAGTCTGTGATAATGATGTTTACACAAGATATTCAGTTGTGATATCAGGTTCTTTTGTGGCATCTCTTGTTTGTAAGGAACTCAATGTCATAATTACTGCATCTTCCAAAATGTGGAGTCATTTGTTTTTTCCACGTGCTTGGTATCAGAAATATAGGTGCCTTTAGTTCCTGTGGAATCCAGTTTGCTATTCTTATTACACAACTGGTTATGATTTGCTTCCTGTTTTCCTCTATTATGGATCGGTTTTCTTTTTAATAGTTCAAATTTAATCAGAGCTTTTATCTTTCTTTTGTGACTATGGAAACAGGTATTTTCTTACCTCGCAGTGTTCTGAGGAGTTTTTTTGGCTACTAACTATATTTTATTTTTCATTATAAAGGATTCCTTCTTTGAATAATTCAATTGATTTCATCTCTTTATTAGGGTTTAAAGAGTATCATGTTGAGCTGAGTAATTTTGAATATTGAATGAAGCAATTTTCCTGCTCATATGAATCATATAATGAATGATATTAATTATATGTCATTGCATTAACCTTGCTTCCTTTCCAGCAAATCCTATTTTTAACTCTTAGTGTTTGGATGCTGCAGTTCACAATTTTGATCGTTCTCTGATAAATGCTCCTGGACCTTGTGTTCTCTTTGCCACACCTGGGATGATTAGTGGTGGATTTTCACTTGAGGTTTTTAAACAATGGGCTCCTTGTGAAATGAATCTTATAACATTGCCTGGGTATTAATTTTGTTACCTTCTCCTTTTCTTGAGCATATAAGGATTCATGATACATATCTCATCAGTAGGAACCAGGAACCCCACAGTTCCCAATCATGACATCTTATATACTTGTCAAAAAACAAAATACAATGACCTTGCATATAAATTCTAACCTACCATTTGACACATATCACCTCAAAAAAAGAATGTTTTAAATTCAAAAGAAAGAAATTTATAACCTTTCCATTAATTTCTCATCACTGGAATGCAAATTTAAAGGATTCCGTCACCAGTCATCATATATTTCATCTAAACCCTCCTGAAATTATTCATTTTTTTTGGGGAGCACAGAATGTGCAAGTAAGGTATTGCACATTTCTTCATGCTGGTTGTGTCTTTTTCTATATCTGCGTTTCTTTTTCTATTCTAAACTTTGAATAAAATAAATGCTGGATATGACCATGCATAGATTGTTCAATGTATATTGTGTTTCTTAAATGAAATGTGAATTTCATCTCTGTACAAACCTTAAATAAATGATAAATTTACAACCATCTTTTCCTAATTTACTGTGCTCTGTTTGCAGATATTGTGTGGCTGGAACTGTAGGGCATAAATTGATGTCGGGTAAACCTACTAAAATTAATTTGGACAAGGACACCCAGATTGATGTGCGATGCCAGGTGCATATTGATCTCCCACCCCTTGTTTACCATCATTTCCACCTTCTCTCTCATTTTATTATTCTTTTGATAAAAAGAGTAGGATTTTAACTCAAGATGTTGCTTTCCCTGTCTTTGGGAGAGTACCACTGGGCTAAACACCCTTGGTTTCATAAGTGGTATCTTATGAATTTCCTGGGATATGAATTATTCACAACTGATAAGACAATATGTATTCACCTAAGACTATGAAAGAGTTCTTCATCAGCTATTGCCATGAAAAGTATAATTGAGTTTGCTTACCAGGGATGATAGAAAATGCAGGTCATTGACTCATTGAGGTGTGATGATGTTGGCACCTGTGAAGCTGAGCCTTAACACATTTATTGAATCCTTGCATTTTAACAGATGTTTGCTAAAAAAAATATATGATCTTTTTGCTTCAGAGAATTTTGGCTTTGGTTGAGCTACTGTTTAATTTGACTGGTCTCTAACTGCCATTAATCCTGTTCTGGAGGTTAGAGCCTGGAGATCTAGGATTGTTGTTTTCTGAACACACATGATCGGAAGTTTAAATGTCTTATTTGCAAAGATGAAGCTTGACTGATCTTTCTTTACTCCCTAGATTATCCAGCTTCTGTGAGAGAGATTTCACTGGCCATTTGCCCAGTTTTTGCTGTTTTTTGTTTTTATGTGGTTATTTTACATAAACTATAATTGAAACAAGAGAACTAACTAATCTTGTTTTGGTTTCACCCATTGATATTGCATCTTCAAGCTGTAATGATTAGAATCTTACACAGTTCTATGGGTCGCATCTATGTAAGCTGTGTTTGGAATAGAGACAAGTAGTACAGAAAAAGTTGGGTTGGCCTTGAATTTTATCTCAGGATGGTTTTGTTGCAAGTTCTATATGCCCGTGTAAGTTATAGACAACTGGGAAAATAAATGTATACCAGGAACGTGGTGCTACCCAGTGCTTTTCTATTTATTTGAAGTTCTGTAGAATTAATCATATGTGAAATTTAGTATACAGTACCCTGTATGGTTTGCAACTCATGCTGGTGCTATATTGAATATGGAATCTGAAAGCAGGGTGCTCCCACCATTTGAGGCGTTGTATCTTTCTCCTAGAGTGGGATAGATTGCTTGCTCTCCCTAGAAAACTAGATTTCTTTTCCCCTGCCTCAGATGGGATAGATTGCTTGCTCTCTCTGAAACTAAATTTTTAACCTCCCCCCCTCTGTATGTGTGCATGGAGAACACCTGTGCCTTTGTGATTTTGGGAGAGCTTAAATGATTTTGTCTATTCATTTTCATAGCAGTCCTGACTATTTGATTGTATTACCAGATTCACCAATTGTCTTTCAGTCCTCATACAGACAGCAAAGGAATCATGGATCTTACCAAATTTCTCTCGCCTAGGAATGTGATATTGGTACATGGTGAGAAGCCTAAAATGGTTTCTCTTAAAGAAAGAATACAGTCTGAACTGAGAATTCCATGTTATCTTCCAGCCAATTGTGATACTGTGCACATTCCTTCGACTATCTATGTGAAAGCACATGCCTCAAACACATTTATCCGCAGTTGCTTGAATCCTAATTTCAGGTTCTTAAAAAGAAGTAAAGAAGACAATTCTGATCAAGTTTTAAGAAACACAAATCCCACTGCCCCACTGCAGGTAAATGATGAAAGAGTTGCTGAAGGGATCTTGATTATGGAAAAAGGCAAAAAAGCAAGGGTTGTGCACCAAGATGATCTACTGCTCATGTTGAGACAGAAGAAGCACGATGTTCAGTTTGCGTATTGTTGTGCAGCACAACTTGACAACTTGGAAGAGACTAGAAACAGAGATGATGCTCTTGGTCTTTCCGACAAGTGCTCTAGCCTTCAGCTATTGTTTAAAGAACTTTCAAATTATTTTTCTGGAGTAAACATCCAAGATCTTGGGGAACATCTTCAGGTGGAGTCATTTCATGTGTCTGTCTGTGTGAAGGACAACTGCCCATACAGAATAATTGATGATTCTCAAAAAGAAGCAGCGACAGTATATTTTTGCTGCAGTTGGTCTGCAGCAGATGAAAAGCTTGCCTGGGAGATCATTTCAGCCATGGAAAGATTCAGTTTAATTGACAATTTACCATGCAGAAATTCCATTTCAAGGACAAATTGATAGGTGTGCTGCCCTGTCGCACATCCATTTACTCAAGAACTCCGTGAACTGTGTATCTAGAAGAGTCTCAATCCTGCTCCTGTGTGCAACATTTCATGACTTATCTGACAGAGGAATTGGCTGCTTTTTTATGATCCAAGAGCTAGTTTTTTCCAGCTTTCCACTTTACTGGAATAAGGGTATTGTATGAGCTGAGACTTTTGAAGCATACCAATTTCCATCCCATACTGACATGGAATTTGAATTTTGACAATTAGCATTCTGTGCTTGAAGCAGCGGTGTGAAAGCAAAAGCAAAAGGATGGCTGATTAGTTTTCTTACATGTCAATCGATGAAAAGGGAATTTTTTGAAGCTGAAATTGCATTGGTGGTCATGATACATGTACTGTGAAAAGGACTTTGTTGGCGGAAATGCTTTAGAAGGGATTGTGGCAGTCCAGAGACCAGCAGGGTGATACCAGCCTTGTGTGCTATTTGAATCTTGAGCTGCATTCAATTTCATATTCTCTCCCTGTTTCTTCAATTCGTTTTGTCACTACAGCAATGTCTTGTATTGTAAAATAACGTATTCGAGTATATTAAGGCCGCTAGACTGGAGTCATATTTCGGATCCTATTTTCTCTCTCCTTTTTAGAAGTATAATAAGTGGCCGTGGGTCAGAGTAAATTACTTTTTTATCCTTGTTTTGAAGAAGTAACAATTCTGCAACTCGGGGCATAAACCCTATTCAGTAAAAAGCTATCATAATTTAGTTAGATAATATAAAAACAATTAACGAAAGTAAATTGATTTTAAACAAAAAGAAAAAAAATTCGTAAGAACGTGAACAAAAGGAACAGTTGCCAGAATAAGGTGACGAAGTAGGATCCTAGCCAGCCCACCCAATGTGGAGTAATGAACAAGAAAAAGGTAAAAAAACAAAACCTTAGTCAATCTAAACGAGTATGTAACGAGTATGTAGAAAAGTTATAATATTGAGATAAATTAATAAAAATTGAATTAAAAAACAACAATTTAATTTCCAGATGTTGATTATGAGATAAAAAAAAGTTAATTAACAAAAAAAACCAAATAAATAGTAAACTGGGCAAGCCACTAATCTCTTTAACCCAGATCATGTAAGCGAAAAATCTAATATAGACAAATCATGAAAAATTATGAAGCTCAATTTTAAAATAATTTAATATTAAATGATAAAACTAAAAGAATTAATTAATAAATAAAAACAAGTTAGTTTATCAAACTCACAATTCAAGTGATAAGAATGGGGTGAATGAATAAAAAGTACATTAAAAAAAATCATAAAGCTCAATTTAAAAAAACCAATGTGGAATGATGAAATTTAAAATGAAAATTGGTGTAAAAAGCAGACCTTGAAAAAAAATAACCTATATTAACATGAGTTAAGTTTTCAAACTTGTGACTTTAGTCATAAAATCAAGATTACCACATTAAAAAAACTATACAATCAAAATTCAAACAAATCGTATGTCAAAGGATGAAAATGAAAAAAGAAATTCAACCTTATAAAAGAACTTGAAAGAAAAATAGTAATTAAAAATACAAGAATCAAATTTAAAATAAAAATAAATGAGCGAACAAATTACATTTTATGATTTAATGATGAAATTTTTTAAAAAATCATTTTCATAAAAGGATGCAGGACAAAAACAAGCAATTGAAATAACAAGGAGAAATTTGAAAAATAAAATAAAAGGACAACCTTCAATTTTTTGATCGGAGAATTAATTTTTTTAAAAAAATAGAATTGAAGAAGCAATCCATTGAATAAAGATTAAATCTAAAATGATAATAAAATGAGGGGACATTTTAGAATTTTTAATAAGGCATTGCAAATTTCAAGGAAAGAAAAAAAACACAAAGAGAGAAAAGAAAACACCACTAACAACAAATCATTATGATAAATCCGACATGTATTACTCCATAAGGAAGAGGAAAACACATCGTACCTATCTCCATCATTAACGATCGTGTTCAGTAGCTAAAGAAAATTGCTTGCACCGCAATAAACTTTATTGCCTCCCTCGTTCTTTAAGGAGTGCGATGCGCGCATTAGCCAAAGAAACTCTCCATGTTAGCTATAATCTTTCTATATTTGTTTCATAAGCAAATTTGGTGTATGAAATTTTAATTGTTTTAAATCAATAAAATCTAAATATATTTTGATAATTTAAGTATTAATCGAGCATCAAATTTTTTTTCTAAAGTTACAAGATCCTTATATATAGGAAATCAAAACAAAACATCAAGTCAATTAAAAATAAACAAATTCAAACAAATCAAAATTTTTAAAAAGGAACAACAACCAAAAAAAGGCAAAAATATTTGCCTTGACATTGCAACCTAGCTCCTAAAAAGATATAAAATTGAACGGCTCAATATTTATTAAAATCTTTAATTTGGCTCTTATAGCTTTAATTGCTATTAATCAATAAAATTAAATTTTATTTTATAAAATTAAGAATTAACTAAATAATAAAATATTCTATCAATATCTTGATGTCTTCACTTATAAACAAGGAAAACAATCATAGCTCAAGTCCACATAATTTATGTCAAATGTTCAAATTAAAAGGAAAAATTTGAAGGACCAGAACATAAAATATACAAGGATAAAAAAAATTATCGTAAATTAATATTGTGATGCATGGGTGCGAAAAAACATAAATGGTTTAATAGTTAGGATGTATTTAGAAGTATGGTTGAATTGTTTTTATGAAAAATCTAATTTTTATTTATTTTAAATTATTTAATTTAATTTTTAAAATTGTTTTAATGTGCTAAATTTTAAAAAAAATTAAAAATATATATTATTTAAATATATTTTCAAACAAAAAAATATTTTAGAAAATAAACTTACTAAACTTTAAAACACCAAGTGAAATAGCACTAGTAAAGGAGAGAAGTTTAAATTCCCCGTTTGCCAAAGCAATGATAGTCAACCATAGAGTTATAAAAAAATAAAAAATAAAAATTGAACGGCAGATATAAATTTCGTGCGGAGCGTCCAAGAGAGAGACTTGCCGCTAGCAACAGGTTATACGACTTGTAATCTACCCCGCGTTGCGAGGATCCAGTTTCGATAATTAAGCTTTTTTTTCTCACTTCGATGATTGCTCTGTCCCTCCCCCTATAATTATTTATTTACCTATAAAAAAATTAACATTTTTTTATAAATTTAAATCTCTAAATTGATACCTCCATCTCTCCCCCGCTTCTATTTATCTCAGATCCTCTAATCTATACAGACATGTCCTGCTTTATATCCCAATGCTTTCTTCTTTTTCTTTTTTTGGCAGGAATCCCTTAAACGGAACTAGCTGCTTGAAAAAAAACAAATGGAGAAAGATCGAGAAGACGGAACGGGGAAGAATTGTCTTCTTAATGATATGACGTGAATGTTGTTTTTAAATCTGGGGGTGACACGTGTTCAATAAAAAAAGAGTCGGCTGCTAAACTATCCATACAACAAGGATTTTAAGAAAATATTTATACTACACTGTATTTTTAAATCAAATGCCACCGAGCTAAATGAAGTGTGTGGATGCAATTCTCAAGAGGGCAGTGCAGGAAAAACTGGTGCTCTCTGTTTTTTTTAAAAAAACTTTCTGATAAAAAATAAAAATAAAAATAAAAATTCATGACACCTAAAAAGGAAAAACGAGCCGGAGAAAGAATCTTTACTGTCTAGACGGTTAATCTTGAGGTGTCAGTCAGCAAAGATCATTCTTGCAAAAACCCTAAAAATAGGGGGAAAAAACATCAACATTTGAAAAGGTCTCGAATGTAAGAGAGATTCTCCATCGAAATAAGAAATCCAAGCAAAATTCTAAAATAGGAGAAAAATGTGTCCCACGAAACGATGAACCTTAGACTTATTACGACGACGTATTTACCGGTTTTGAGCCCCAAGGCTGTCCATTCAATCATCTTCAACTCTCTCCATTAATAAAAAAAAAATTAAATAAAAATAAAAATGACACCACCACCAACACAGCAGCCAAAGCACCCAGTAATAAGTCAACGAAGATATATTCCGCAATGATCTTCAGCGGCCATTCAACCCCTACCCCCTTCATATATTCTTTTAATCCTCATAAATAAATAAATAAATTCCTCGAATTTCTAACCCCAGATAATTAAAATTTTACGATGACCTTCCTTTCTCTCTAAATCGACACGACCACTGCACCTTCACTTACTCTCACTAAACTTTGTCCGAGAATGTCATCCGAAAATGATTCCCACGCGCCACTCCTCCGCCCTCGCCAAGACTCCCCGACCTCCCCAACCGCCAGCCAAACCACCCTAGCCGTCCTCCTCGGCCGAGCCACTGGCCGCCGCGGCCCGTCCATGCTGGTAAGAGAAACAGCAGCTCGTGAGCTGGATGAGAGACGCGCTGACTGGGGGTACTCGAAGCCGGTGGTGGCATTAGACATGCTGTGGAACGCAGCGTTCGTGGTGGTTTCGGTAACGATGCTGGTGGTGACGGCGAAGGAGAGGCCGAACACACCGATAAGGATATGGATCTGTGGGTATAGCTTGCAGTGTTTGGTGCATGTCATTTTGGTGTGGTTGGAGTATAGGAGAAGGAACACGAGGAGAGGGAGAGATGTAGAGAGCCAACAACAGTCAATCGGGGGAGAAAATGTTGCTGAGAGTGAAGACGAGGATGGCGATGAACAAGATAGAGCATCTCCTCCTAGATCAAGGTAAATGAAAATGAAGATAAAAAAAAAAGTCTTTCCTTTTTTATTTTTTATTCTTGCGATTTCTGGTTTTTTTGCTTATTTGGGATTTTCTCTTTCTTTCAAATAGATAATTTCAATTTCGAGTTTTGTGTTGGTTTTCATATCACATATTATTAGGGTTTTAGTTTTTTTGTTGCTGTTTTACTGTTGGTTTGATTCCTCAACTCATGTGTACCCGAGAATTCATATTTCATCAAATTCTTCTTTATTGGAAGACTACTAGCTCAGCATCCAAGATGGACATTTTTGCGCATTTTGCATTATTAGGTGGTACATGGAATGGAAGGAATGTGAGCTAATTTGACAAGTTCATGGAAAAGAGAGAGATGATTTGACGAAGTTCCCAAGTGAACGGATTACAATTTCACTGGAGGAAATCAGACGTGGAACACGTAACATGCTTTTTTCTTAAAAAAAGTTCTAAACTTGAAAGAGGTGTTCTGCGATTATAAAACTTAGTGTGGGGTAGATTTGACTAAACTTAAACAGTGAAAGGAGATTTTTGCATGAAAACGAGAGGGGACTTTGTTTTTGTTCTCCCTAGTTATTAAGTTACTATCTCAAACCACGAGGGATTCTTGCAATCTATCTTGAATTTAAGCATTTGTGCAAAGAGCGTTAAAAATTGATTTGTCTATGATGATAACATGGGCACATCATCTATGGAATTCTAGAGACTGGATATCTAGTCTCATGCTTGTGCCCGCCTCTGCTTGGTTCACAAAAGCTTTGAAGTATGTGATTTCAGTATACATATGTGTATGTGTTTATTCAAATGGGAGTGAAGCGAGCTCCAAAATGTGATATCTTGCTATTTGTAATTGAGTAACTTTCCTCTCTCCTTCTCTTGTATGGATCTCCAGCAGTATCGGTTACAACATGTTGTCTAGTAACTTTACTGGAAGGTTTATCAATTGTTGCTGTCATATTAATTTAATGATTTCTGGCTCAGTTTCACTAGAAGATGTGAATCGTTGAATACCATGGTGTCATTTCTCTGGTGGATAGTTGGCTTTTATTGGGTAGTCTCTGGTGGCAATGCCCTTTTGCAAAATGCTCCTCGTTTGTACTGGTAAGCATTTTACTAATCTAGTACAGGCTTTCAGTTTCCGTTGAATTTATATGGTTGTAGGCATTACCTAATATCACAAGATCTTTTGAAAGCTTCAGGTACCCTTGTCTAATAGAAATTTCTCTTACCAGTATAACTGCCCTTTTCTTCTTCCTCTTTTAAATACAACCATGCCCGATCAGTGATTTCCTATGTCAGCGTACCAAGACATTTTTTTCTGAAGTAATCAACAATTCCTCATGCTTTGTACAAGATTATTTGGCACATAAACCTTGCAAATGTTAGGATGTAGGTCATCCCCGTACTTTTTTATTTTCTTGGTTTGGTGCCTGTAACAATAATATATGCAAATAAAGACCACAAGGATATCTAATTCTGAATTTCTGCAGGCTGGCTGTGGTTTTTCTCGCATTTGACGTGTTCTTTGCGATCTTTTGTGTTGTTTTGGCATGTTTGATTGGGATCGCTCTCTGTTGCTGCTTGCCATGCATTATTGCAATTCTTTATGCTGTTGCAGGGCAGGTATGATGATAAAATATTTACCAACATTAACAATCTGATGGCTTTGCAAAGCTTATAGCTGTTGGCATTTTCATGTGCTTAATTAGGACTTTCTGCCTCTCTCTTTTCATGTGTGACTAAATAGGAAGGTGCATCAGAAGCAGATCTCAGCATGCTGCCAAAATACAAATACCTAGTAATGGGTAATGAGGAAAAAAGGCCCAGAGTTGGGGCAGGGAAAATGGTTCCTGTGGAAACAAGCAGTGGGTACTTGGCAACTGAGCGTATACTTTTACCTGAGGATGCAGTAAGTTATTTATCATGAGAATTTTCACTTTTTTAAAGACTCTGGATCTGCACTTTTATGAACCACATTTAGAAGGGAATGCTGTCATTTTTGTTGAAAAGCAATGGAGTTTTGTCAACCTGTTTACTGTCATTTCGATATATATATCGCACTTGTACATCTAGTGTTTCTGCATGTCTGCATATTTGTGCAAAAGGAATTGAAAAGGAAATTTGAGCTATTTATATACTGTAATGTTGATGAGAGAGCACTGTCTTGGATCATACTGAGATGAGCAGCGGTGAACCTGTCAGTATGGTATAATCATTTAATCTTCATGTCTTGCCACAATTTGAAATCTCTTTTTAGCCAGTAATCACTTATTCCAAATCTCCTTATAAAAAGTGGAAAATCATGTCTCTTTAGAAGAATGAATGCACGTGTGTGAAATTGCTGAGATGTAAAACAAGAGATATCACTTCTATTGTTGTTAGTAGTTCAATTTATTTGGGTGAGACAAATGAGTCCTGGATATGAGATACTTTAGTGAGCATGTTCTTTGCACCTATATTTGAGGATATGGACCTTAATTGTTTTTGCTTAATGAAACGAGGACAGCCAAGGACATCACAAACTAGGTACATCAAGTTCAATCAGATTTGCCTAACTTCATCAATTAGCCGAGTTTCTCTCTTGCAAATAATTTGAAAGTCGTAATTGATGATATCATTGCTTAAACATTCTGCATTATGTTACATTGCAATGCAATGCATTTAACTTTACACTCTTTGAAAGGAACTGGATATGTCTAATTTATTGACACATGGACTGCATTTCTTCTAGTAGCTCTATTTTGTACTATATTAGATTTGGGCCCTTATTCAAGGCCTCTAAAGTAAATAGGAGGAAAAATTTATTCGGTTATATTTTGCCCAAACAAAACATGATGCATTATTTGTTTTTTCTTTCCTTTCCTTTTCTTTAAGCGTGCAGTTATTCTAAGGCATTTAAAATTTAATACCATGCAAATTTGCTAAATTAAGTCCAATATTACAACGCAGAGGTATGGGGACCACATCTGGTTAGGAAAAAACAAAAAAAATGTTCAGTGACCATATTTTGAATTAGAAGTGGTTAATCAAGTATTAAAATTGCCTGCATCTTGCCTATTCTTAAAAAAAAAAAGTCATCTTACATATCTAAATGGGATTGGTACAATATCTCAGGAATGCTGATCATGAAAAGGAAAAGTAAAATAGTGTAAGAATAATGCTAACTTTACCAAATATCCTTACCAAAATCACTTCTTGGAAAATCTTAAGCATTTAATGAATGGATCCGGTCCCATAAATTTAGAACTTACATATTGTTTTTACTGTAATAGAAGATTATGTAACAATATTTGATTGCCATCAACCATCAATATTTTAGAGATTGTTCTTACTGTGTTTATTTAAAAAGAAAAAAAAACAGCTTTTACTATAAACATCATGGTATGGGAATGTTTTCTTGCCATGAACATATATTGAAGTACTTTATTAGGTTTGATGCCAGCTATTGAGCCTGTTATTTGGCCTGTCTGTTGTGAGAGCATCCTGCAGAATCTTAGGCAACCTGTCATGTGGTTGGATGTTATTGGTCTAATAAGTTTGCATTTTCATGCTAGGCTAGTCGGCTGCTGTGTCAAGGAGTTGCTTAAATGTACTAGGTTGGGACCTAAATAATGCATGGTTCAAGATTCTCTTTTCACTTGTTTTCTCGTCCAATAATAGGGGAGGTGGGAATGGTATTAAAATTATATGGTTTGACTAAGAAATATGGAAAAAATTGTAAGGACCAAGAATTAAGTGAAAGACATACATGATTCTAAGAACAGTTCTCTTTCAGTATCAAAGTCATGTTAAGAGATTTCACCAGTGCTGTAGAGTTTGGTTTCAATATTTTCTTTTGATAGTTATTTTTCCCTTTAGGAATGCTGTATCTGTCTTAGCCCATACGAGGATGGAGCAGAACTCCATGCACTCCCTTGCAACCATCATTTCCATGCAACGTGCATTGTGAAATGGCTTAAGATGAATGCAACATGTCCTCTCTGCAAGTACAACATTCTCAAGGGAAATGAACAGGTATGAAGAAAAGATAAGGAGAAACCACAATCAACCGGGTCGATACTCCCACATACTGTTCGCCTTCTTGTACAGAAGAAACCAAGGCACAATGAAAGAGGCTTCTTCAAATTTCTGTGAAGAATACAAGTTGTAGCATTCAGTAAACAACGCTTCAGTTAGTTTTTATTTCAGTCTGGAGTTGTATTGATTCGTCTTCCTCTCCTGATTTGTTTGAGAAGCATGCTAAGATGGAGCAAGAATTTGCAAACTTTCTGTTTATGCTTAAATTATATGTTTTGTAGCAATGTAATTGCATGATTGCATCTATAGTAACCTGCCAAGTATACAAGTGTCGACCAAATTCTGGCTGTTCGGTATATAGTGTATCAGCTTCCTTGGCATTCAATTCATTTGAAGATTTGATTTTTAGGCTTCATGACTCTCTATAATTTGTGTAATTGTTTAGTCTTTCTTCTCATGTGGTTACATGGAAATGAAGTTCTTGCTGGTGAGGCCTAACTTTGTTCTGCCATTGGTCGTGCTTTTATAACTGCAGTAAGAATGGTTGCATTTCTAACTTTGCAGACGCAGCCTTAGGAGTGTGTTTGGAAGTGAGGTGGTGATGTTTTTTTAAATTATTATCAGACGCAGCCTTAGGAGTGTGTGTTTGGAAGTGAGGTGGTGATGTTTTTTTAAATTAGTTTTTATTTATATATATATATTAAAATAATATTTTTTTAATTTTTTAAAAAATATTTTTAACATTGATATATCATGATTTAAAAATATAAAAATTTAAAATTTAGTGAAATACTATTTAGAAATTAGTTCAATGTAATCGAGCTAGTCCGTCTCCTTTTTTGGGTGTTACAGCTGTTGCAAGGGTGTTACGGCCGTTTACTGCTAACCATTATCTAATACCCGTGATATTATTTACGATCGCAGTCGTGGCCATTTTCGTGAATGCAACAGCTATGCTTCAAAGTGCACCCACTCTTCAAATCCTTTTTTCTTATTTTAGTTTGTGATTTTCTTCCCTTTTCTTTTATAAAACATCAAGACTGCTCAATGCATTATCACCTCTTACAAGAATGATTAGTGTACAGCAAATGAAAGATTTCAAGCAAGTAGCTCTGTTCTCCCTCCCTACTTCCTCGGTGCTTCAATTTTCATCAACCTCTGTTGCTCTGCGTTCGCGTCTGTAATCTGCTAATCCAAGTTGCTGTTCCAGTTCCTCAATATTATTGTCTTGAAACGAAGGGTTCTACTGGAAATGGAGGAGAAAATCTCACATCCAACTCTACTACACACTGAACTCCACCGTTTCCCCGGTTTAAAACAAGTTGCTTCTTTGGTGGCGAGAGCAAAACTGGACATTTTGGGTACAGGATAATTGGCTAGGCCTCTCCACTTCTCGTCCAAGTCCAGTGATTAAAGCATGAAGGGGAGGAGAAGTTCAATCTTGTGCTTGAATGAGCCCAGATACAAGGCAAGGCAAGGAAAGGAGAATAACACGCGGACTTATTCACGGACGCTGACACAAAATACACACACGGACTAATTTACATCATGAAATTTAACAAAACCGGCAAGGTATTTTTTAAAGAAAATCAAAAATTAAACAGACTCGGATACTGCCATTTGATTTCCTCATTTCCTGCCGACCGGATCGTCTACATCTCTATTCGATCAAATGGATTGTTACTGCGTAATTTGTTAGAATCTTCATAATTGATGTCCTGGCTTTCCACCCGCGGAAAAGTCAGCTCTTAAATAAATCGTTGAGATGGCGTACAAAATTGGTATGAAGTGTATGGCCGCCCTGCATCAATTGCATATTTCAGACAGAAACTAGATAAAAATCTCTCCCGTTGTTAGATTACATTTAGAGTGAATAATACAACTAAGGTGAAAATAAATACAAACAATGCTGATTATCTTTTCCTATGAGCTTTCACATGATGCAGCCACAACATAAACTCGTAAAGAACTGTTAAACTGCTAGCATTTAAATCAGAAGTCGTAAAATCACATATAAAATTCACCAGGCAACAAAAATCTCCCTGACAAATTTATGATGGATGCAAAAATGGCATCGCTCCCCTAGTTGGTTGTTCACGTTCAACTAGGGGAGCAAAGTACAAGAGCTACTAGCACAATCATGGCTTCAATAAACTAAAGAAGCATCAGAAGCATGAATTTCTTTATGCCAAGGATGAAAGTCTCATCCTTAAACATAATCAAGCATGAACTTTATATTTGATCAAGAGTTCCCACAATGCAAACTTTCTATGTAGTTTAGAAGACAATAATTAGCAATAAAATTAGAAAAACTAATAGCGGTGCTGGTAAAAGAATTTATTTATTAAAAGTGAAAGGTCTTTTGAAAATGAAATGTAGACTTAAATTAAAGTATTGCAGGTATATATTTCAACAACAAAAGGGGAAAACAGGAGCCATATTACCATGACATGCTCCTGGATAAAATAAGTGAGAACCAATTGCACAAGTTACTTGAAGAACAGGAAGGATTTGTCAGGCTGCCGATCTAAGTTAGCTCTACAAGTTTAAGTCTAGTGTAGATATATGCATATAAATACATACATCCATGCACAAAGAAGGATATACATGTAAATTTGTGCATCAAACAAAGATGCAACATTTGTGTCCATGCCCACAAATCATAAATTACCTGTCTTTCAAAAAGAAAAAAAAATCAAAACAAAAATTATCTGTTAATAACTACCGGACCATATTAGCAAAAAAATGCAAATAAATAAATAAATAATACATGCCTTGTAAACAACTATGTGTGCCACTGGGAGTCCTTGATTACCAAACCGTGCAAACAGGGAAAGGTCACCAACAAGATCCAAGATCTTGTGACGACATGGTTCATCAGAGAAACGCAGTGGTGGATTCAACCAACCTTTGCTGGCACTGCAGATAAAAATCAAGGGTTATAACAAGAACCAACTCGTTGTTGCATTCCACTTTCTGCACATGTCTCGTGTACAAGACCAAACTGAAAACAAAAGATTCATATCATTCCAGCCATCTGTCAGCAAAAGCAAATGTTCAAGTTTAATTTAATCCATCAGCAGCCAAAAAACTTAGGTTTTAGACAAGTAGCAATTGTGTAAAAGTATTAAGAAAAATAACATTTTCCTGCTTATTTTGAGAAGTAAGAACTAACATTATAGCAATTTTGCACCATCACCAGTCTCCTTTTGTGCAGTTGGTCAAAATGAGCTGCAGTAGCCCAATGAACCTAGCATTTACATACTTTCATCTCCAAATAAGAATGAAACAGCTGACCTACAAACAATGGCATTGTCTAGTGAGCCCCCTTTAATAAGTCCTGCCTTGCGCATATGCTCTACCTGCAAGGATTTTCGAACATGAATTCTAGCATTAGAAAAATACTCAAGTTAGTATTTGTAGCCATGGGCATACGATGACCTGCTAAAGCAAAGACATACTTGACATTGTTTTATTTGATGGAGCGATGCTTAAACCATCACAGAAAAACCATCAGCTTCCATCTAATTATAAGAACCAGCAGCATGTTAATCCAAACATTTTCCCCTTTCTCTTTGATATACACTTGTATTATGCACTGCTTGAAGCTTGATTAAAATTGTGTGCCAGCTATGTAGTGTGATTTTATAGTGGTACGGTCTCTGTTACTTTTATTTCAGAAACATAACAGCAATTTGTTTCATAGGTGTAAAATTTTCCATGCACTAGTATTACAACTAGCCATACAATTATATCACCGATAAAATGCAAAAATAGAACTGCAGTTCTTTTCACAGAAAAACTTGGAACAACAAATTGCTAAAAGGATCGAGAAGATATTCCCAACATTCAATAACTGAAATCTGATTACCTAGGCAGAACATCTGATAGCTTCAAAGAAGTCAACTTACAACGTGTTCAAGAATAGAGGCAGTCACATTTTCTGAATAGTGGATAGGGTGACTAATGATGACTAATAATTGAGATGAGAGCTTGGAAAGAAAGAATCCATTCCCCGCATATATGTATATAGGGAGAGAAAAGAAAGGCAAGGAGGTCTATTTATCACATCAAGAGATCAAACGGTCATGGATGTGGTCGTCTTCATGATAAAAAATACACAAACCCCACACATGTAGGAGATAAGGAAAAACTAATAGCGGCATCTTTTTTTTTCAGCATACTTTTTCTTTATTAAAACTGCTAAAATCAAGCCATCACAATGAGTAAAGAGTAAGAACAACATTGGTAATGAAAGAGAGGTTAGGACAAACCTCCTCATATATGCAAAAAGTCCTTGATGGAGCTATTTCTTTGGCATAAAGAGAATCCTCCAGAGGAGCTAAGGAAAACCACTGGGAGCCAATGGCAACCTACAAAAGGAAGGGGGGAAAGGAATTTGAGCATTTCCCAGAGATAATTAATACTACGAATCTATAATTCTATACCCGAGAACAGTGACTGCTCATCCATTATAAGATTAAAAAGCTCCTTTATTACCCCCAAATGATCAATTACTGGTGGAATGCCTACATGGCAAGTTAAAGAGTAAAATCAAATCATTAAAGAAAACACGTAGTTTATACATGAAGATTCAGTTAGGAATCACTGTAATACTTCTCAATAATGTTACTTACTTTACTTAACATCTCAAAGTAATGACAGTAAAAGCACAGTAGTAACTCATGGATAAAAGCATTTTCCAACACAAAAAGCAAAAGCAAAAACATCCATCAGCAGAGTGCGCTGCACTTAGATTACCTGAGGAAAATCAATCCCATAACTAACTCGAACTTTCGGTGATGGAAACGCTGCCACAAACGAATCATTCTTCGATACATGGATGGGCTCGTTCAAATAGGGAGCCAGTTTCTCACAGTCATTCCCACACTCATCTTTGGCTGCCACTAAACCATCCTTTTCTATTCTCTCCACCCAGTCCCTCGCCGAACCATCCAATACAGGAACCTATAAATCACACATTCTCAAAAACACCACAAACGGAAAGAAATGCTGGTAACTTACCATGACAGACTGAGTCTGACCTACCTCGGAATCCAAGTCGGAATCATCAGAGTCAAGATTGGTAATTTCAATACGGCAATTATCGACACTCATAGCCTCGAGAGCGGAAAGCAAATGCTCGACGGTTCGAATTTTAACACCGTCGTTGGAGAGAGTTGTGCAAAGAGGCGATTCTTGTGCGTAATCGATGGATGCTGGAATTGATTTGGAGTTGAAATAGAAGTAGCGCCCTTTGCCTGCTAGCTCTGGCAATAGCCTTACTGTTGAAGATTTTCCCGAGTGGAGTGTCGTCCCACTTGCCTCCACGCGTCTCTTTAGTGTTTGTTGAACCCTGCCACACTGATTTTATTTCAAATTTTTTTACTATTAGTTTACTGAATAAATGATTTCTAGGAAGTTGAAAAAGAAAGAGAGAGTGCTACTGGTTTCCAGGAGATGAGTTTGGATGACTTTAGAGCGTTGAGGGCACCGGAGATAGCCATCGACGCCGTTGTGTTTTCCAGGGAGAGAGCGGAGAGTTTGAAAGTGTTTTAAGACTTTTTAGGGCTTGGAATTTCTGATCCTGGAGGGACAAATTTTGAAATGAGTTTAATTTGTTTGACAGCAAGAAAAATAATTGCATATTGACTTGTTGAGTATTTTATTAATTTTCTACTTAAGTGTCTTACTTTTTAAGTTTTATCTATTTAATTTCCTTAATAATATTTACATGTAAATTGGTTAGGATATTATATGGTATTTCTGAGGGTTTGTAATTGACCAAAAGCTTCATCTTTTTCTTTTTTTTTGCAGTTCATTAATTTCAATAAAGATTTTAGCAGTTAATGAAAGGAAACAAACTGCCCATTTATTTCATTTCGCAAAATTAAAAAATTTCCCTTGTTCCGCTCAAACTTCTTGTGTTGAATGATGTGATAATTAGGATTGGAAATGATAATGAATATTTATAAGTTGGATTTATTAATATTAATATTTTATTTATTATTTATTGAATTAAAAATACTGATATTTATAAATTATTTATTAAATTTTGAATATTTAATTTTATTTAATAAAAAAATTATTTATATTAAAAATTGATCTGCTATTTAATATATGGTATTCATATTTTATATTTGATTTTGAAGGGTGAATAGATTAGGGTTGTGTTTGTTTCTGTGGTTCATTGTATATTTTTAAAAATATAAAAATTTTTATTTAAAATTATATTTTTTTATTTTTAGATTATTTTAATATATAATTATTAAAAATAATTTTTTTAAAAATAATATTATTTTAATATATTTTAAGTAAAAAATATTTTAAAATATAAACAGTGTAAATACTATACATGGGCTGATTTTCTGTTAACACCCATAATTTACTTCGTGCAGTGGATTGATAGATTTGCTTGAGGGGAAGCTTGTGGTTCCTCGGTCTCAAATAAAAATAAAAGATGAATTGGAGGCTATAGCGTCCAGGTCACGATCTTCATCTGACATGTCCGAGGCTGAAAATGGATGAGTTCTTGACAGCAATGTTGATGCAGAGTGTCAAAATTGCAAGAGAAAACGCCAAAGAGTAATCCTTTTATTTAAAGAGCTATATAACGAATATGCAGTTCCTTTTGAAATTTGGGAGGTACATCTCTTTCCTCCTAATCCTCTCACGACAAACCAATTGAATTGTTATATACAGTCTCTGGCTATTTCATGAGGTTTTATTATCTTTCATCTTTGGTTTTTTCAGTTACTGAATTTAGTTGCTTGAACTTGATAGCGTGTGTTCAGAAGATAATTAGAACCTTTGAGATGAATATGGATCGATATTGTAGATGTATGACAGTAGAATTTCTTTCTGTTCTATGTATTGATATGACTCCATGTCTCCACTAGAATAGTTCCTTCTTGGATGTTATAGGGATTGGCCAAATGTGAGCTTAATGACACTCCTACAAATTCATGGCATTACATTTCTCAGAGATAAAACAAGCACGCTATGTTTGCAGGTGACGGTCTGCATTTTTAATTCGATATGTTTGCTTTTAAAGAGTTCAAATCCGTGATAGGTTGGTAACTTAATTATAGGCTGGCAATAGGTAGCTGTGAGTTGAGTCCAAATCATTGTAGTTGTAGTTCTCTCAAGTTGCTAGATGTAATACAGACAATTTAGCTCAAATTATGGTGAATTTAAGGTTCGTCTGTATCTGTAAAAAAACTGTTTTCTTTTTATGAATTTTAGAAAGAAATAAATTTTTACAAAGAAAATTATAGGGAAAATGAATTTCTAAAAAATAAATTATTTTTTTATGTTTGGTAGTATTATAAAAAATAAACTAGAAAATAATATTTTTCAGTGTTTGATTATGTTATGGAAAATAAATTGGAAAATAATTTATTAATATTTTATTTTTCTCAAGTTTATTAAAATAATGAGGAACAAATCTTACAAATTAAAAATTTGAATAATAATGAAATTGAAAAAAAATTCATAAATTATCTCAAATAAAATAAATAATAAAGATCAAATCTAAATAAAAATTAAAATAATAATAATTAATATTTCATAAACCCATCTTACTTGATCTTGACAACAAGTCAAACCGATTGATATTTGAGATTTACATAAAGGTTCAAAGTGTTATCTCAAAACTATTAACATGACTTATTTATTTAACCAGTAATTATTTTTTTATATTTATAAACATGTAAAAGGTTTTCAATAAGTTTATTATATTTTTATTTTATTAATAATTTATAAAAAATATTTATCTTTTATTAATATTATAAAAACAAATAATTTTTTTATCCTTCTATTTTATAAAGATGACGACAAGGTTTAGAGATTATAAATACTTTTAAGTTATTCAGATAAAAAATTCATAATTTTTTATACTTTAAAAGTTTATGTATCTTAAGGCATTAATTACACAAAAATAAAAATAAAGGTTTTTGTTCTTTGGAATTTAAAGTTTTTTCTTTTAAATATTGCTTTTTCTGTATAAAATTACTTATTTTATTATCAAAAATCTTTAAATTTCATGGATAATGCCTATTTTTGAAAACTTCTACTACTATTTTTTTACATCCTAGGCTAAAAAGAAAAACATAATGATATGAACATTTAAATAACCATTATCCAAGCACCAAATAAATTGTTCCTTTAATATGCTAGATTTTGAAGCATCATCAGCAGGTATCAGTATTGCATGCTTCCAATTTTCAAAATTTGTTATATAAGCAAGTCCTTGATATCCTTTTCTTCTTTTCGATATGTCCGGAGATGCTTTACTTTGCTATATTCTGGTGATGCTGATAGTAGCATTGTAAGAGAAACCTGGGCTAGACTAATCGATCAAGCTCTTTCAAGGGGTGGTGTTGCGGACGCTTGTTCAGTACTGAAGAGGGTTGGTTCCTGCATGTATCCTGGAGAGGGAGCTCGTCTACCTTTATGCACCCTATGCCTTCACCTTGAGAAGGCTGCACTGGTGCACTTACATTTCATTAATATTTACTTGTTTTGCCATTTATTTAATTTACACTAAGAAGTTTGTGGTTATTGTGTAAACAGCACATTTCCTGCATTAATATATAGTGCTTGTTGCTTTTCTTTTTTATTTGTTGCATCACAAAAAAAGGCATTTCCTTCACGTTCGTGTGTCTTTGGGCTTGTTTTATTGACAATTTGTTTTCATTTTGCAGGAGAGACTGGAATCAGGGATTGAAACTGTAGGAGATGAAGACGTAGCAAGAGCTCTGCTTGCTGCTTGCTGCTTGCTAGGGTGCAATTGAACCTGTATCAAGCACTTGTGATCAGTTATTATCGAATGGAGCTATCTTCCCATCTCCCAACCTTAGGCTACGCCCTCTGCGATCTGTGCTTGTGGTACTCCGTGAATGGGCGATGATTGTATTTGCCAGAGGATGGGTACAAGTGCTGCTGGAGCTTCATTAAAATTAGTTGGATCATTCACACTGGAACAAATTGTTGTCATTATTAACCAAGGGATTCGTGATAAGATCACGAGTGCAGCAAACAGGTCAGCTTGTCCTCTCAACCACTTGCTGCCTCTAGCTGCTTTGATGTTAGACATATTAGACAATACCTGTTTCTCGGCCTGAAAGAAAAGGATCAAGACCATTTGATACTTCCTGATTCAAAGAGGAAAATAATAGCTTCATTTCATTCCTGAGTTAGAATTGCCTGAAAATTTATGACTTTAGAAAGGGTTACGAGAATAAGAGATTTTTCAGGATCAAAGCTGTGCTTTCGTGAATTTTCTGGCTTTTATGTCTAACTGCTTTGTAGTGACTGGCAATGGCGTTAAAGCGTTGATTAAATAAATGTTATAAGTTTGCTGTTCTTGTTTTGCCTTGGACTTTGAGACTCAAAACAATTAGCGGAGTGGCTTCCCACTATCTCTTAGCATTGTTATTTTTCGTGGTTACTAAAGTTCATCAGACATCCTGGTCTGATCCACTGATATAAGATATGTTATTTAATCAACAAACCTGAGTGCATGCCTAAGAGTTTCGTAGCACCTTGAAGTCTCTATCCACCCTGCTTGATCTTTCAGTGGCTCATTTTAAAGTCCTGCGGGAAAAAAAATAAAATTCTAAGCATGTAAGGAATAGAAGAGATAACATAAGCTGCTCGTGCTACGGGGAACTTTAGGAATAGAAGAGATAACATAAGCTGCTCGTGCTAGGGGGAACTTTTATGACATTCTTTTTGTTTTTTCTTTATTAACGTGGGTATCCGGACCAGTTTGCGCGTATCATGACTAATCCCATAGATCCTGAAGTTATTTATCATATAAGTCTCTAGTGATCATCATATTAGTAATCAAGGACTCGAACCCGAGATCATAGAAGGAGCAAACTCCTTGATCTCAAGTATTTACCACTTGACCACCACTAGATAATTAACTTTTATGACATTGTTGAACATCATATCATATTATGAACCCTTATTCTCGTGATCCATCTTACAATGTTTCCTTGTTATCTTTTATCTCCTTTTCTTTTTAATAAGCAAAATCATTGTTACAATAGTTTATTGTGCTTATCTAGAGTGGAAGACGGCTAAGTCATCCATTACAGTCTAGTGTCGGAACAATATTTTAGTCTCACACATGGGGTTGTCCTTTTATTCTGAGCATTCTGCTTTTGTGGCACTGGGGATGAACAGGTACATGACAGAGGTGAGGAGGCTGCCCCTTCCCCGGAGCAGGACTGAAGCTGTTTACCAAGGATTTCGAGGACTTGAAGAGTCCCTGATAAGCCCCTTTTCTTGACAGATTTTGATTCTTTAGTGTTCCATAGTAGTTGTATGAAGAGGTTTATTTTTGGTTTGCAAATAAAAAATTAATAGGTGAAGTAGTTCAAAGACACCAGTTAACGTTATGGTTTGACATCTTTATCGTTTCAATGTAACATTGAGTCGCAGTTCATAGCGAAGCAGATATCAAATTTGAAGGCTGATGATGCCAAGAATCATATTAACAAGTTCTTCAAAGATGACTTGGTAATTTCTCATGCTTTTATCTCTTCACCATAAAACCACATCTGTACATGCTCACTTGAAAGAATCAGTGCCTGCATTATAAAATCAGAGGAGTGCCAACCTCTTTGGAGACCTTGGACGTTGGAAAATATGCGGCTCTTGTTCTCAGTCCTTTCTATCCACCCTTATGTTAAAGCAGGGAACTAATCTGCTGTGCCATGGGGATTGATACTCATTTATATTTATAATCCTTGCCAGGAGAAGCCAGAAGAATGAGCAGATGATGATTTATCAGAATTCTTGATGGCTATGAAAAACTTCTGCTAGAAGTAGCCTAAACCCTGCCTTGACAAGCAAATCAGAGGGTCCTGTGGGGGTGGATTCAGTGGCAGGCATTGTAATTGGATGGGGTGGTCAAGTTTACCCTACTGAGAATAGGTAAGTTGCGTTGGTTAGCAAAAGCAAAGCACTTGGTAATGCGGTGGACACTGCCTTCTGTGACGGTGCATGTGCTTGTCTTGTGTTGTGGGGGCAGCAAGCCAAGAACAGTGTTGCCGCTTGCGAGCGGTTTTGCAGCCTGCAAGCTAGAGCGTACATGGAGAAGATATTTCGTTTTTGATGTTTATGGTATTTCTGTAAATGAAATTTCTTTTCTTCGTCGGCAGAAATAAAATTGCCCGACTTCTCCTGCACTATATCTTATCTTTACCATTATTTTATTTTCCTTGAGTTAAATTCTTCAACCACAATATCGGGAAAAATCATTCACGTTCCTTGCAAGAGAGGCTTGCATTCTTGGAGTCTTGGTGAGTGGGTATGATTCTCACGTTACCATTCTGGTCTGAATCTTAGAGAAACTATAATATATAATAAATTTACTTTTTATGAATACACTAGTTTAGATATAGATGGTTTGTTGGGACTTTGCCTTGCACGCAAAATTGATGGATAATATCTGTCAATAAAACCATAGAAAAGGGTCCGTGGGAAAGAGTTGCATGTACTTTCTAAACGAAGGCGGTTAACGAAAAAGAATTTACGAGGATGGGTGTTAGTACACCTGTACACAGGGGCGGAACCAGGGGGTGGCAAGTAGGCCCGGGTCCCTGCAAAACATTTTAAAATATTTTATTATTTAATATTTTTAATTTAAATAAATAAACTTTTTAATAATATATATATTATTATATTAGTTTTGGCCTCCCTATAGAATGAATCTAGCTCCGCCCCTGCCTGTACATGTACATTTTGGGAGCAGGAGGTTTATAAAAAATAATTTACAAGGATTGGTGTTATGTACTCTTTCAACGTCAGCAGCAATAAACAGACAATAATTACAAACAAAACAAAACGAATATGATGTTTGCTCAATATTACGGTCGCTTTGGACATTGTTACTGTGGATGACACTATTCAGGGTGATACTGTTCAAAAATACTAAAAGAATATATTTCCAGGGGCGAAACTAAAAGATATATAGTTCTTTTTCTAATTCTTAGCATAAAAAGATTGGGTATGTTAATCTTGTAATGATCACAAATATTTTTTAAAAAAAATATTTTTTAAGATGAAGTTTATTAATAAAGCTATGTATATTTTTCACACTAAAAAATTTATAAATATTTTTTTAATTTAAAAAACACGAGAGATTGGTTGACTACTCATTACAACTATTATTTGACTCTTATAACCGTTGATTAATAATAATTATAAATATATCAACTTAATATTTTTTTTGCAAGATAAAATAGGTAATTGATTTAACATTAAACATTAGAGTTAATGCTTATTAATATTTTTATATTTTTTTCTTTATAGATAAATTAATTATTCTTATCTTGATCATAATTTTATCTAAAATCAAAATATCATAAATTTTCATAGCAAAATTTTAGTTAAATATGACATTAAGATCTAAAAAATAAATCAAGAAGGTTACACAACAACAATAAAGAATGTTAAAAAGTGTGACTGCGGATGTTCCTGGATAAAGGTGTTCCTGGATAAAGGTGTTTGTGAGTATTATTTTGATTATTTTTTAAAGTATTATTTATTTAAAAATATATTAAAATAATATATTTTTATTTTTTTAAAAATTATTTTTAATATTAAATCATTAAAATAATCTAAAAACACTAAAAAATATTAAATATAAATAAATAAATAATTTTTTAAAAAAAAATAAAAAAACCGGTTTACACCATGCTCCCAAAATACTTGCAAGTCTTGTTTTAGCACGAGCTATAGCAAAAATTTGCATGAAATTTCGGCCTCCCTTATACGACCGAAATTACATGAAATTTCTGCCTCAATTATTTGTTTGAACATGAGCGATATACTTGAGGACTTGCTTGTACTTGCATGTTTGTGTGTATCAAAGTATACAATCTACGAAGTTAAGTTTGAGTTTATAGTTAAAAATAAAAATAAAAATAAAAATGAAAGGACAAGCACAAAAAAAGGGCTCGTTGTAAAAGTGCATAGAAAATTTAATCTTGATACCTAAAGTTTTAATTCATGCATTGCTTGGTCCTTGAAGTTTTAAAATTTTACATTTCAATACTATTTTTTTTAATGTTTTAATCCTCAAGTACTGAGAGGTGAATGAGAAAATCATTAAAAAATAATAGAAAATAAAAAAAAAACAATTGAGCTTATTTTAACTACGAAGAAGACAGTCTTTATGTTAATAAGTTTATTTTTGTAAAAAGGAGTTTCGTAGATGTAGTTGAGATTTTTTATAGATCAGTTTCTAGAAAAGTTTTTTTATTTACTTTAATTTTGGGTTTTAAAACAATTAAATGATATGTTTCAGGTGAAGATGAGTTCAACGAAGCCTCGTAATTTTTTTTTCAAGTGTTCACAACAAGTTAAAAATTAAATTTTTGAAGTTTAGAACTTAGATCTTGACTTTTTAACCACCAGAGATTCATAAAAAAATTAACGAGTACATGGAGTATTGTTTGACTCATTCATTCATTCCTCCTAGGCCAAGTGCTTTATTTTTTTAAAAAATAAAAAATATTATAAATAAAATAAGTAAAACACTATCCATTTTCACCAGCTGAAGAAAAAACTAGTTCTGAACGGCTGCTTTAATATTATTGAAGGCTTAATTTGGTTAATAACTGGATTTACCTCTCATGTGATCATCAGTAGTTTAAATACCAGGAAAGACTGCGAGAAAAATATTGTTTCATTAACACATGAATTTCGAGCGTAGATAATGTACCTAAGACCATATTAGAAAGAGATTGTTTTAAAATTGGTTTGATGATATCCTTGTTATTAATAATAATAAAAAAAAAAAACTACTTCGAGAAGCACACCTGCAGTTCACCTAATTCTTTTCATGCACTGTTCGTGAAACAAAAGCGAGTGAATGAATGAATGTATAGGAAATTTCCACGAGGCCGGGTGGCCTAAGCAACCTCATGAAAAGTGAAGGAAAAGCTTGACCTTAGAGAGAAGAAGACCGTAAAATCATCATAAAGCCTGTCTAAATTTCCGCTTATTCAATGGTCACGTGCCCCGTCATCATGACTCCTTGACTAGCTTGGTCCATTGGCACCGTCCAATCGTTTACACCAGTATAAACACGATGAAAACCTAGATATAACCATTTAGGTGGTGGTCAAGTGATAAGAGCTTGGGATCAAGGGGTTTGTTTTTTTTGTGGTTTTAGATTCGAATTCTTGATTGCTCATATAATGGCCACTGGAAGCTTACATGGTCGTTAACTTCAGGGTCCGTGGGATTAGTCGTGGTGCGCGCAAGCTGACCCGGACACCCACGTTAATCAAAAAAAAAAAAAACCTAGCTATACATGTTTTGGGCCTCTCTTGCAAGAATATCGGGTTTTTTTTTTATGTTTTCAAATATTTTTTATATTTTAAAATTATTATAATATATTAATATTAGAAAAAAATTAAAAATCTAAAAATATTATTTCTAGATATTAAAAAAATACTTTAAAACCAATAACTACCCCCAATAACAAATGGGTTTGGCCCCTCTTTGAACCGTGTTCCTAAGTTAATTATCCTAAGATTCTAATGATGCGAATTTTACCCAGGTATTACCAGCAAAACAAGGTTTTTCAACTAGGAAAGGGCAAGACAAATAAAAAATAATATGATTTATTTTTTACTTTTGTTTTGGTAACTGAGGAAATAAATTAAAAAAATAAGTAATTTTTAAGTTTATTCATCAACTTATTAATAGCAGATGCACAGTTGCTAAGAGACATGTTATTTTTACGTTTAAAAAAACTTTTTAAGAATTTTAAATTTTTTAATTGAGGAAATAAATTAAGAAAGATAAGTAATGTTTAAGTTTATTCATCAACTTATTAATAGTAGATGCACAGTCGCTCGTAGACATATTTGATTTTGCTTTTCAAAAAAAAATTAAGAATTCAATTTTTTTACTTTAAATTTAATTTATTAATATTTTTAGATATTTTAATATGTAGATGTTAAAAATAATTTTTTAAATATAAAAAAATATATTTTTAAATAAAAAATATTTTTAAAAATAATTACAACAGCACGCCATAAATCAGGTCAGTGACTGACATTCAATTTGATTTTTTCCATGAAAATATAAACAGAAAGAAATTATAAGCACATGATTAGTGACAAAGGCTTCCACATTTTAGTTTTGAAGTCCGGAATATAATCAAGCATGGACGAGCAATGGGTTTTTCTCTTTCTTTCTACGTTCTTTATCTCTTTTATGTATACTGTGATCGATACACGTGTTGTCGCAAACTGCTTTGCTATTGTTTTTTAAATTAATATCTTGTTTGAAGAGAATTTATATATACTTTAATTAATTTTATTGAGTTTAAAATTAATTATTATGTAAATTTTTAATGATTTTAAATTTAATAAAATTTAAATTAATAATTTTAAAAAAATAAATTTAAAATTTAACAAGTTAAATTGTACATTTTATTTATAAAAAAATTAACAATTTGCTTTGTTAATTTTTATTTTTTAAGGTGGAGGTTATTTTTTTTTAGATTAACGTGGGTGTCCGGGCTAGCTTGCGCGCACCACGACTAATTCCACGGGCCCTGAAGTTAACGACCATATAAGCCTCTAGTGGCCATCATATGAGTAACCAATAACTCGAACCTGAGAGTACAGAGAAAGCAAACCCTTTAGCCCTAAATTTTTACTGATTGGTCACCAACTAAATGGTCAAGGTGGAGGTTATGATGCGATGAAACAAATGATGGACCGAAACTAGCGCCTTGTAAGCAAAAATAGCATGAGCTATTCAGAAATAAACTGACGTTTTATTAAAAAAAAAAAAAAACAGAGTTACAAAAAGAAAAAAAGAAAACTTCCTGTTCAAATTTATACTGAGTTTATAGATTGTTCACACCTTTACAATACAAAGCGTGAACAGTACAGTTTTTTTTCTTATATACATGTATATATCTAGCAATGTAAGGTATTAAAACTATCATGTGTATATATATAGTTAGAGTCGTAAATTTAATAATTTTTATTTTTTTTGTATTTAATTAATGTCATAAACTTAGATTTTATTATGAAAATCTAATATAATTATTTTAGTTAATAAAATAATTTTTAATCTAGATGAAGTAAATTAATGTTTTATAATTTAATCACAACATATTAAGATAAATCAGGGTTGGTTTTTATAAAAAATAGTTGTAATCTTAATATATTTTTTTCTTTAAAAACTAATCTTTATTTTCAACAAAATG